CCTTGGAAACACAACAGAGGGTTGCTATGAGTCAGAACCAACTTGACGTCACTGGGTTTGGTTCTTTAGTTTGGCTAGGCCATGGTACAAGCTCTGGTGGCCTAGTGGTAAGAAGCTGCACTGCAATCCTGAAGGCATGCAGTTCGAGGCCACCAGCTGCTCCACAGAAGGATGGGAAAGCTCCTCCTGTGCGATTAACTGCCTCTGAAAACCTGCTGGACAATCAGATATGGGTTGGTTCTGACTGGATGGTACACAACAACTACAACAACACAGGTCATAGTACCAGTCATTTAGCCAAACACTGATTTAGGTGATATTCCGCAGGCATTTTCTTAGATTATCTTTGCTAATAAGGGCAATCCTGACCCAAGCCTTGGTGTTTCCAATGGCTTCATTTACATGTGAAAGACGAATAACAAAGACCAAAGTACTGGCACCTTTGAGCTGTGGTGCTGGTGAATAATATTGATCATGTTATTGTTGTGTACCATTGAGTCAGAACTGACCCATAACTGACCTTCGGCAGGTTTTGAGAGGCAGTTAATCACACGGGAGGACACTGCTCATCCTTCTCCCACATATTGAACACAGATTTCCAAAAGAGCAAACACATCTGTCTTGGAGAAGTAGAGGTGGAGTGCTTCATAAAAGCAAAGATGACGAGATTTCATCTCACACTTTGGGCGTGATGTTAGCCGAGTCAGTCCCTAGAGAAGGCTGTTGTGCTTGGAAAAAGGAGAGGGTCGGAGAGGAAGCCCTTCAATGTTATGGACTGACGCGGTGACTACCAGTGGGCAGAGACTTTGAGGATGGCACAAGATCAGGCAGGGTTCTGTCCTGTAGTCAGAGGCAGCTGGGCGGCATCTAACACCAAGAGTAGAATCTGAAAGAGAAGGATGGTTCCCAAAAGGCAAGGAGTCTTGTCACCAAAGGAAACCCATGTGTTGGGGCAGCTGCCCACACTCTTCCACGGGGTTGGAAGTGTCGATTTTAAAAGAATTCTGCTTAAAGACCTCCTAAGTGCAGCCCCCATGATCTCGAGAGCCAGGTCCTAAAGTCACAGACAGTTGGCCCTCGAACAACACAGAGATTCACAGCTCTGACCTCCTGTGTGGTTTAAAATCTGTGCACCATTTACTTGACCAATGGAAATCATGGATTTGAAATGCATAGGTCACATGGGTCATAGGGGGAAAAATACACAGATTCCCCCCACCCCCCACTTTTGCTACTCTTGCTACTATGGTGAGCTCGAGTTGCAGGTATGTGCTTAAAACAGGCTGTGTGAGCAGAGACGATTGGCAAAAATCTCACTGCCAACAGCAGCAAAGACAATCCGCGTCTATGTGGGCCCACACGCTGCAACCCACGTGATCAAGGGTTAACTGTGTACACAAGTCTGTATACTAACATACACATCCTGTTGACTGTCTTTCCCTGGAGGGTCTGTCTGATAACCTTTCTGAGAAGCCTGATTTCTGTGGGGGATACATTGGACTGCAAACCTGTTTGCCATGTGAATTGCTCTACCACTAGAGGGCAGCAGAGAACAGCACAAACTCACCTAGCCCCAGGTCAACCCTAGGAAAGTGCAGGTTCTAAATTGAGACGTGAGTGCCTCGTTTTATTTTGCCCACAGTGTATTTTTATATATATATAATATATATATGTAATAAATAAAATAAAAAATTCCTAACCTCCAGTTCTTCTTTAACCAATAGATGTGTTAGCTCCTCTTTGGCACCTGACACCTCCAGGTCATCTCAGTCCCCTGTGCCATCCTGCCCCAGTGGGTAATAATATTCTTGAGCGGTCATGCTCCCCAGCTGTCAGCTGCCTCACCCCCTTCCTTTTCGGGATGCCACTTACCAGCTGTGTGACAGCTCAGTGCGTCAGTTTCCTCATCTGCCAAATGGGTCTATACTCACCTCTCACATTGCAGGGACTGCTTGGCAGCCGGCTGGGACACAGACGCTCTGCAGACTGACATGGGGTGAAGTGTGCAGTCGATATGAGCACTGCCCCTGCTTGGCTTCACAGCCCGCGTGTGCAAATCCCCCAGCCCACAGGGTCCTAGGGCTCCCAGACCTGACGCAAAACTCACTCTTTGTCAAGTTTTGTGTTTTCCAGCTCATGAGCCATGAACTGGAAGACAGCCTGGCTCCATCACTACTATTTCTGGTGGGCAGATTGCAGGTTTCCTCCACTATCCAAAAGTAGAGTGTTTCAGTGAAGTCTGTAAGTGGAAATAGTAGAAATCCAAGAAGCAATTGCTTCATTTATATGAGCAAAATCTTTCAGGAACCCTCAAGCAACCTATCAAATCACATCAAACATCATCTAAAACCTAAAATCATACCAACATAGCACGTTCACAGACACCTTTCAAAGCGATGACAGCCTGATGCTGTCCCCGGAAAGGAGATGGCCACAGGATGCCTCTTAATGGCTCGCTGTGAAACAAAGGTTGATTGAAGGCTGGTTTTGCTTTACTTTTTTCCATGAAAGCGAAATCTTCTTTTTCAGTTCAATAAAACAGGCACTATTTTTTTTTTAAGTGGTGTGACAAAGCGAATTTTTGAAGGGCAGGGGATGAGAGCTCACTATGACTCTTCAGCCAGGCAATCCCCAAATTGCCCTTTGGCCCTTCCAGAGTTCAGCTATCTGCCCCACCATGGACTTCTGCTGCCTCCCCCTCCCTGCCATCAAGTAGATTTCAACTCAAAACCACCCTGTAAAAGAGCAGAGCTGCCGCAGAGGGTTTCCGAGGCTGTAAATCTTGATGGGAGCAGGCTGCTTCATCTTTCCCCCTTAGAATAGCTGGTGGTTCAAACTCCCCTTCATATTAGCTGTCCAGCACTTAACCCCTATTTCACTAGGGCTTCTCTTGATCTTTGTCTTACAAACCATCCCTCCCTTCCTCCAACCCCTTTGACTTGGGTATGTCTGACGTCCTGGCCATTCAGAACACACCTCCCCTGAAGGAGGTGATTGGCTCACTGGTAGGCACATGATCCCATCCAGGCCAATGAAAGCCCTGCCCTGGGACTTTTGCTGTACTTACTGGCCGTGCACTAAGAGGACCAAACTGGGCTAAAGTGTGGTCTCAACTCGGAAATGCAGCTCTAGACAGACTAAACTCTGATAAGTCATTTGAACCCCTGGGACTTGCCAGATTTGAAGTCAGAACCACTTCTGGGATTTACCGTTACATAAGCCATGAAATTATTTTCACTTAGAGTTTTCTGTTATCTTTCCTTTCACAGTCCCTCAAGGCATATATGTTATATCCCTGTTTTAAATGGAAATTCTCAGATCTGGGAAGGCTATATGTAATACAATGGTTAAAACACTACACACACACACACACACAGAGAGAGAGAGAGAGAGAGATATGCTGTGAATCAGAACTGACTCAACAGATATAATGGTTTTGGTTCAGTGGCGGGAAAACTAAGGAGAATGAAGTTTACCAGCCATGTTTAAAAACATAAGTCATTCTAAAATTGCATCCTATTATCATTTCATGTCCCCTAGCTGAAGATGATCCCCTCTCCCTAATATGGCTGAAACTACCTAGCCCAGGATAGATGATGAAATAATTCCAATATTATGCTTCACTGTTGAATCGCAGCACCTGGCACAGAGTAGGAACCTTTTAGCTATTAATAGTGCTTTAGATGTTTAGTCAATGTCCAGTGGCCCCCAACTCGCCTCAGTCTATGGCACTGTGGGTGATAAAAAGCCTGTTTTTTTGCAACCTCATGGCCTCCTCTCTCCTAATCATCCTGCAAACTCCAAGCTTGTTTCTGCCCCAGGGCCTTTGCACTTGCTGTTCAGACAGGAAGGCTTCTTCCCTCAGTCCGTCTTCCTCCCTCACTTCCTCCATCTCTCCTGGGTCTTAGAGCCCTCTCCTCAAGCCTGGCTCAAGCTGCCCTACTTGCTTTTTGAATGAGATCTCAGCCTCCTCGAGTCTCCTGACAAATCACCATCTGAATCTCCAGGTGCATTTAGGTACGTTTATTGATCCTCTTTCCCCAGGATGTCAGCTCCATCCTGGTGAAGCCCTTGTTGGTCTGTTCCTGGCTGCACCCCAGTGGCCAAGCCAGAACCTGGCACTCACCTGGGCCCAGTCACCATCAGCTGAAGGAATTCCCAGACACAGACCAGCCCTCACTGTCCTCATCACCAGTCCACTACATGAAGACCCTTCCTCACCCAATCGGGAGACCCCGGCAAAACAGAGCACCTCACATCAATTCACTTTCAGGTGGCCAGAACCAAGGCTGAGGAGTCCTGAGGTGGGCAGGCGATGTATACCCGTCACCCACCTCCCCCAGGCAACCAGGAAACACCACTGGGCAGCTAAGGTTAATAGACTCTTGCTGCTTTGTTATAAATATATTATATACATCCAAAACATGACATTAAAATATTACTCCATGTTACAGAAAAGATATTAAGGCTTTCTATTATTTACATTAAACAAGCAAGCACCTTTAAAAAAAAAATCAACCCAAAACAAAAAGGCCCCACTCTTCCTCCCTTCCCTGACATAGCCCTGACCAGAGGGGACACGGTGGCCACTCCACACGAGCAAGACCCTGGCAGGGGCTGTGGCTGTGAGGACGACCTCAGACGGGAACTCGGCTCTGCTGGAACCATGACAGCCGGTGGTCTGGGATGGGGAGGGGGGGTGTCTACACTCAGTGGGGGGCGTCTCTGGCTTCTCCTGGTCGCTTGACCTCTGAGGCTCTTAAGGAGCTTTGCTGCCCACCCATCAGGCTCCAGGGGCAGTTAGCAGGGGCCTGCTTGGTGGACACTCAGGTCAGCGGCGGCTCCCCAGACCACTGGGGACAGAGAAGGACGACTCGTCAACCCCAACACCAGCCACAGAGAAAGGCCCTTAGCAGCTCCGGCACAGGTGGGGTGCAGGTGGGCGAGTGCCCCCTGCAGGCAGGGACAGTGGCAGGTGGGCTCCTTTTTCTGTAGGTCTGAGGCTTGGCCGACAGAGATAGGTGGCTGGGGACCAGGGAGGAAAGAAAACGGAGACAAGAATCAGTGGCTCCAATATTCTGTGTCACGAGGGGTGGACTGGGGGGCCTGGGCCCAGCCCAGGAGGCGTCCTCTCCAACAGAGGGGCCAGCAGCAAGGAGGCTGGAGTTTGGCAGATGGCTTCAGCGTAGGGGGGTGGGGGCGAGGGAAGGTTGGCAACCACATGGTGGGCTCGTCCCACAGAGCTACTTGATCTTCTGGGCCCATTTCATGTCGTCTGCTCGGGGCTTCTCCCCGGTCAGGGCCTGGATAATGTCCTCCAGGCGTCTCCAGAAGCCGAGTTTCTCCAGCGGGTAGTTGAGCCAGCCTGCGGGAGAGAGGACAGGCACAGGGTGAGTGGGGGAGCCACTGGGGTACAGCTGGCCCTGGCTGCGGCAGGAGGGGGATGAGCCGGCAGCAGAGGGCAGGGGGTCGGGTCCCACCACACACACTTTCTTACTGAATGCTTATTATATGCTAGGTGCCAAGTAGCATTTATTACTTGCTCTGATTCTCTTGTTTATTCAGCCACCAGACCTGGCCTGTGGCCCTCATGTCTTCGTAGCCTCTATCCTTATCTGGGGTGAATCAGCATCAACTCACTATTCCCGTTTCCTGCTGGTCTCTACCTAGACCCCAAAGGAGAATATAGGTTCCTGCCTCTTTCAAGTCTCAGCCTCGTTGCATGGGACAGGGCCTGGGGACGCCACGAGGTGCTTTCTGGCTGACACACAGCCTCCCCGTAGGGTGGAGCAGAACTGCCCTGTGGGGTTCCGAGGCTGTAAATCTCTGTGGGAGCAGACTACCAGGTCGCTTCCCCTATGGAGAGGGTGGTGTTCAAACTGTTGACTTCTATTTAGAGTCACACTGTGGGCCAAGGGCTGTCACTGAGGGCTCTGCTCAGGGCTTCCAAAGCTGCACGTGTTCACACCGCCCGGCCTGGACTCAGTTCCCACTCAGGCCACTCTCCCCTGGGTTCACAAAGTTGTAAATGCTTTTGGGACAAAACTGTCTACTTTTCTTCCAAGGTGCAGCTATTGGATTTGAACTGCTGACCTTTGGGTTAGCAGTCCAACACATAACTCACCGCACCATCAGGGCTCCTTCTCTATGTTGTTGGTTAGCTAATGTTAAGTCAGAATTGACCCACAGCTGACCCTCCAGCAGGCTTTCTGAGGCTGTAAATCACATGAGAGGAGACTGCCCTTCTCCTCTGAAGCAGCTGGTGGATTAGAACCACATACCTTTGTGTTGGTGCACGTAGCTCTTACCCACCGGGCCATGGGGGGCCGCTCATCTTACTGCTGACAAAGGCTCACTGGTATCAGTGCAGGTGGCTGAATTCCTGCATAGTCCCTGCCTCCAGGCCTTTGCACACTGTTCCTTAAGCAGACAGATGTCCTTCTTTATCTGTGGCTACCCCACCCTTCTTCCCCAGTCACCTCTTGCTCCCTGCCCTCTCTCCCACGGCTCTCAGAGCCCCCCTTTGTGTTCCCCACAACTCACCACATTTGCACTTATCACCTTCCTGTCACTCTGTCCCTCACTCTCCCTTCCTGTCCAGGGATCCCTTGCTGGTTCTGGTCTCGGGTCTCTGCACCTACTGTTCTCCACCCGCCCCCACTCCTTGCTTTATCTGCCTCCACAGCAGCCGGCAAGCAGCCCTTGTGGTGCACGTAATGCATCAGGCTGCTAAAGAAAAGGTCGGCAGTTCAAATCCACTAGCTGCTTCAAGGGGGAAAGATGGGTAGTCTCCTCCTGGGAAGATTCATAGCATTGGAAACTCCAGGGAGGGTCACCCTGAGTGGGAACTGACTTGATGGCAGTGGTGTGGTCTGCAGGGGTCAGACCATCAGGTGGACATTTACTGTCCCTCTTGCCTCTAACTTTGAACTCCAAAGGTGCCCAGATTTTGCCTGTTTTGTTCACAGCTGTATCCTACACCTAGGGTGGTGGCCAGCACACTGCTGGTGGTCAACAGACAGGGCTGGGTGGGTGAGCAGCTGGAAGCTCCACAACAGGGAAGGAAGGTCTGTCTTTATGTAAGATGCTAGAAGGATGGGCAATCTCCCGTGCGATTTACAGCCTCGGAAAACCTGCTGGAGGGTTAGCTACGGGCTGGTTCCAACTCAACTGCACGTAACAACATGCTCTCAGGGAGTCCTGATGGCTTAGTGGTGAGGAACTCTGCTACCACTCCACACGTATGTGGTTTGAATCCACTAGCTGCTCTGCAGAAGAAGACTGGCAATCTCCTCCTGGGTGATTCACAGCCTCTGAAAACCTGCTAGAGTGAGCAGAGTCGGCTCCAACTTGATGGTATTGAACAACAACAAAGCTCTCAACAGGAGCCCTGGTGGCACAACAGATTAAGCGTTAGGCTGCTAGCAGAAAGGTCAATGGTTCGAGTCCACCAGCAGCTCTGAGGGAGTAAGAAGATGTGGCTGGTGGTCTGCTTTCATGAAGATTTACAATCCTGGAAACACTGAGGAGTTTGACTCTGTCCTAGAGGACTGCCATGAGTCCGAACTGCTGTGATGGCAGTGCGTGTGTCTGGCTGTGTCCCCCGCACCTAGAGCAGTGCCCATCACATAGCAGGTGCTGAGTAAGTCTTTGCTAGGCGGAGGATGGGCAGGCAAGGGACGGGCAGGCAGTCAGCAGCACAGCTCCAGAAGGCAGAGTGAGGGAGGGGTCACACGTCCCATGTACTGTCACACCCTCAGCACTCAGCATGTGTTAGGCACACAGCAGGTGCTCAAGAGACCCTGTCCCGAGAGAGGGGACCTTCCCGGAGGGTCGGGGCCGCACCTGTGGTGATGCAGAAGTAGGTCTCGTGGGGCGAGACGTGGTGGATGCGGTGGTGTTTCCGGGGCAGGATGACGTGCCAGTCCTGCAGGAGGGTGACCCAGCGCGGCAGGCCGAAGTACGTGTGTGACCACTTGTGGATCTGGTTGGTGAAGGTGCTGAAGATGATCAGGCAGAAGACGAAGCACTCCCAGGGGTACAGCTGCTCCAGGGCTTCTGCGGGGTGAGGAAAGGGCGCCCAGGGCACGTCACTCACCGCCGGCCTGGCCCTCGACACGCTGGGCAGCACCTGTCCCAGGAGGGCACCCAGCACTCTCCTTCCACCTCCCTGTGGCCTCAGACAAGCCAGGCTCCACCCCTGATGGCCTCAGCCTCCCCTTCCGTTCAGTGCACAGAAAGCAGACTTAGAAGGAGTAATGGCTATGAATGCTGGAGCAGCGTAGACTCTGCGCCGACAACGCCTGGCTGCGTGCTCTTGGGTCTGAGACAGCGCTTCTCTGAGCCTCAGTTAAGAGGCCGTCTTACCCTGGTTCCCTGGCAGAGTTTGGGGCAGGAATTCTGCACCTGTGGCCTCCAGAGGGAGTGAGTCTCTTGGGACATGGAAGGGAGTCAAGGAAGGAGCACAAGGCCAGGAAGCTTGACCTGCGCAGAGTTCTGGAGCGAGAGCAGCCTCAGGGAGTCCGCCCAAGCACAAGGCACTGGCCTTCAGTCTGTGGTTTTCAACTCCAGGAAACGCAGCCAGAGCCAAGGGCCATTCTCTGGAGACCCTCTAGCGTCCGAGCATCTACGACTCTGGTGGCTTAGTGGTAAGGAGCTGTGCTGCAAACCTACAAGGCACTTGGTTCGAATCTACCAGCTGCTCCACAGGAGAAGGACGGGCAGTCTCCTCTCATGTGATTTACTGCCTCTGAAAACCTGCCGGAGGGTTAGCTGTAAGTTGGTTCCAACTTGATGGTACCTAACAACAACAACAACCACCACCACCACCACCCCCCACAGGAAAGAAACAGGTCAGAGGAGAAAGACCCTCAGTAAGAGTCGTGACTGACAGAATGACGGCAACGATGGGTGTGAATGCAATGGAGTCTGGGGAGGTGGGGAGCAGGCAGGGCTTAGATCTGTGTACACAGGGCCACTAGGACTCACAGTAGACCTGGGGGCACCTAACACTGTCAACCCACACAGGAAGGAGCCCTGGTGGCACAGCAGGTTAAGTGTTGGGCTGTCAACTGAACGGCCCTTAGTTCTAATCCACCAGCTGTTCCACAGCGGCAAGTGAGGCGGTCTCCTCCCGCGGAGACTTTCAGCCTCGGAACCTGACGGAAGGAAGGGACTCTCAGCAATGGCTCTGGCTTGGGAGGTTGGGGCTTTGAACTCACAGGAAGGTGCTTGAAGGTTAAGGACTTGTGAGGAGTCAGAACATTATCTGGCACCTTACAAATGACCTTGAGGCCCAGAGAGGTGAAGGTGGCTTGCTTCGAGGGAGACCCCCTATAAAATAAGGAGGGCCAAGATCCAAACTCAGACCGAGTCCACAGCCTTTATCCCCTGTCCGCTTGTGTGGGAAATGCCAGAAATGCCTCTAACTGGCTACACTTAGGCTGAGCTAGGTGAGTTCCTGTTGCCATGGTGTCACCGTGTGCCATCACGTCGGTACCTACACACGGCTCACCATCCAGCAGGTTTTCAGAGGCCGAAAATCTCAGGAGAGAAGACCGCCCAGCTTTCTCCCATGGAGCAGCTACTGGGTTTGAACCTCCTACCTTTGACTAGCAGTCCAACTCCTTACCACTAGGCTCCCAGAGTTCTTACTAGACTTATTTTTTCTAGTTTTTTTTCCTTAGAATGAATGCTGCCACCTTTTCAGAAGCAAGCTTTCTGGTGGACGCAGGAGAAAAACAAAATCCTAGGAGCAGCACTGCATCTTCGAGTCCCAGCCGGTAAACGACTACACCGGTAAACAGGGGGAAAGCAGTGGCAAAATTCAGAGACCAGCCTAGTGTCAAGAAGCTGCACTGTAATCCCAGAGGTACGATGTTTGAATCCACCAAATGCTCTGCTGGAGAAGGAGGGGCAATCTCCTCCTGTACCAGTCAGATCTGATTTGACGGTACACACAGATAAAATAAATAAAAAAAAATAATAAAAAAATTCAGAGACCAACCATCCAGACAGAGCTTCCCTAACCATATAAAATCCCTACATAGCAGCCCAGCGCTGCCTTCTTCCTGAGCCTCTTCCTCTGTGGGAGTGTCTCGCTACACTTTCTTTAATAAACTTTGCTTAAGCATTCTTAAAAAAAAAATGAATGCTGCCTCCTTTTGCTCTTTGTTTTTGGCAATGCTCGTAGAACTGCGTACAGTTGAAGCAAGTGATGGTTTTGTCCTTAGACTTGTTCTCAGGTGCTCTTGGGTCGAGCATGATTCCTAGCGACCCTGTGAAGAACAGATTTGAGCCCTGTCCTATCCTGTGCACTGCTCACAATCTCTGACCACTCGAGCCCCTGACATTCACTGTGCCGATCCGAGCTGCAGGTCTTCCACTCTTTTGCTGTCCCTCCACCTTTCTAAACATGCTGTCTCTAAGGAATTGCCTCTCCCAGCAACCTGTGAGACAAAGCTTTATCATCTTTACCTCCAAGGAGCACTGTGGTTGCACCTTCTCTAACATGTACCTGTTACCATAAATGTCACCAAGCAAGAGGGGCAGAGGGCAGCAGGGAGGAGTGAGGACTGTGGTAAAGTGATGAGCAGGCATCCACTCAGACTTTGTCCTTAGACTAAGCAGCGTATATTGTTAGCATTCTCTATCAGCTTATGGAGTCTTTAAATGAACTATGTACTGGGGATTGTTTGTCTAAGGGCATAAGACAGTCAGTTACGTCCCCCACCTTTTGTTGGATCTTCTTACTGGTCGACCACCACGGGATTCTTGGGGTACTGCTTTCCCTAATCAGTAAGCTTTCCCTTCTTAATAACCTGAAGCGAATGTCTTTTTGTCTGTCAATCTTCTGGTCTGTCTGCAAACATGAACCTTGAGGGACCGTCCCTCTAGGGAGCAAATCTCACTGTCACTGCATCAGGGAAGCCAAAGCAAAAGCTAGACCAGACATTAAACAAGCAAGATGGGCAGAGGGCAGTGGGGAGTAGTGAGGACTGTGGTAAACTGCGGAACATGGGTCTGGGTCAGTGACCAGGGGCCCGGGATGATTAGATCCAGTTGCTCGAGAAAAGCTACAAACCCAGATTTTGAGGTCAAACGTCCCAATTTTCTATGAGGCCAACTAGGAATTTTAAAACCCTGTGAAGGACCATATACAGACAAGCCACACGACAGGAGCAGACTGTGCCCCCTCCGGTCCCACCTTACCATGGCTCTGGGTGCGGAACTTGTAGGCCATGTTGAGCAGTGGCAGCAGGGTCACCAGACAGTTGTCCCCGTTGGTCTCGATGAAGTCGTGTCGTGTGATGGCTGTGGGGTCGATGTGGTGTTCCCGGAACGGCCGGATAAAAGCCTGGGGTGGGGCAGGAGTGGGAACGTGGTCCAGGCAGTGACCCCTGGTGGCCAGCATGCTCCGCGACATGCTGAGCACCCTACCTGGGCTCACCTTCTGCTGGGCACCCAAACCTGCCTCCCCGCCATCCCCCTGCCCAGGACACAGATCACACCCAACCGCCAGGGGTCAGGCTGGAGCAAAGATGGGCTGAAATGATCTTAGGGGTGATGACCGCCCTTTTCTGGGTCTCGGTCTCGCCATCTGTGCTGAGAGGTCATGGAGACCATCTTCCACGCTTTTTCCCTGCCCTAAGCTCATCAGGCATCTCGTGGTAACAGGCTGGGACCTTTGCCTCCCCAGCACCCAAGATCTTCCTTTGAGTAACCACCTTTCTCTGTCTCTTACTCCACTAGGTGCTGATAGGACTGACTTCATCATCCAGCTAGAGGTGAATACGTGACCCAGACCTGACCAGTAAGAGCATCTTACCCCCCTTCCCTCCCCCAGCAACTAGACTTTGGCCGTCACAAGGGGGGAAGGCTGAGTCTCTCACTAGTACTGGACTGCTAGCCACAGGTGGGCAGTTAGAACCCAGAACACGGGCCTAGTGAACATTTCTGAAGGGTCACAGTGTTGAAAAGTCTTTTTTTTTTTTTAAATTTATGATTCATTTCAATGAAAATTTACAGAAATCTGTAACTGGCTGTGATCAATTAGTTGCGGCCTCCACTGCACTCGGACCGGCCTTGAAAATTTACAGAGACTTTTGATTTAGTCTGGAAAATTCTAAGGGGCAAGTTTACTTTGTACACCTAAGCCTGAAGTGAGTTGATAAGTCACTACCAGCAATAGCACCGGGGAAGGACCTTCCACCGGGACGAGAGAGCTAAGAAGATGGACACGCAGGACAGTTGGTGGTCAGCCTGGCCAATTCAGGAGGGGAAAATGCACCTGACAGTGAAGCAGAAAAGACAGTGGCAGAGAAGAGACCAAAGGCAGAGATGGAGACAGACTTATTCTAAGAACTTCCTGGCTGTCCTCCTTGATCCAGCATTGCCTGATTTTGCCTCTACCTGTGGAAATTTCCAGTACATGTACTTTCCAGTACAATAGCCTTGATTGTCTTGACAATATCCTTGTAAGCCAGTTTGGGCTGGATTTTCTATCACCACCCCTAAATCTGACTGATAAAAGATAAAAACCAAACAGTAGTGAGGAGAAGAGGGAGCGTCAGGGAACACAGGCCTCAAATTCAAGGCCTTCGGGTGAAACAGGCTTCTATGGATTCTGACCTTCTGGTGCCCTAATGCTTTTCCTTCCAGACGATTCTAGGTCCAGTCTCAGCACTGGGGGTGAAAGCAGGCTGGAATGCTAAGTTCCCATCTTCCAGACAGGAGAACAAAAGCTTGGAGGGAAAGGGGATGCCCTCAAGGTCACACAGCCCACCTTCCTCCTTGCGGGGTTAGCTGGGCTGTGGGATACTCACCTTCCCCACAATGGGCAGCTCCACGGAGCCCCACGTGTCGGCACCCCAGTGCACCAGACCAGACAGCAAGTCCGCGATCAGAGCTCCAGCGACTGTGGAGGAGAAGAACAGGTGAGCTGGGGCAGGGGGCACATAGGACACCCTGCCCGCCCCTAACACGTCAGCCCTTGAGCACCCCCTGACTTGCTTGGCTCCAGGCGAGGCAGGCACCTATCTGCTGGCTGATCTTGCAGAATGTAAACTGCGCATGCTCAGTTCAGCCAGTCCCTGCCAGGTGCCTCCTCCTGGGCCCGGGCCCTCAGTACTTTACACAGGAAGCCCATCCTGCTGCTCTGCTCGGGAGATGGGATGGGAACACCTGGTTCCTCTGAGGTGTGGCGCCTGAAGTTCCTGGCTTACAACAGATGCCGCACCCCCTGCCTTCAATGCGGTCATTTGGCCTCCAACAGTGGTCTCCTTGTTTTTGTTCTTAATTACTCAGAACTGGAACAAAGAGACCTAAGATGCTGATTCATGGGTCCCTTCAGACACCCCAGCAGCATGTGCTCACTTGTGGGTTCAGCAGAAGTTTAGCGCTCTCAGAACTGGCCTTGAACTCCGGTCTTGTCACCCACTAACTGTGTGACATTGGACATGTTACTTGACCTTTCTGTGTCCCAGCTTCTTAGAAAATAAAAGTGTGCACACCCATGTTTATCATGGCTTTATTCGCAATAGCAAAGAGCTGGAAACAACCCAAGTGGCCATCAACAAACGAATGGTATATCTACACAATGGAATACTACGCTTCATTGAAAAACTAGGAACTCATGAAATATTTCACAAAATGGGTGACCCTGGAGGACATTCTGCTGAGTGAAATATCTCAGTCACAAAAGGACAAATACTGCATAGGGTCACTGTTGGAAAACAGGCCTGACATCAGGGTTGAGGGAAGACAGAGAAGGAGGGAAGGAATGATGTATACTGCATTGAAACAGATGGAGAGAACTGTTTAAAAGGGATATATGATTGGGTGTTATTGTCATGATAGGAGTCCAGAATGAAGGCTGCACAGTGCAGTGGACTTGGGGGGACTTTCATAACAATGAAAGAATTTTACTTTTCAAGGAGAAGAGTAAATTGGGGGGGAGGGGGAAGGCAGGGAGAAAAGTGTAAGAATGAATGATAAGAAACCCTACGTCTCTGTAAACATTCATTAAAATTAATAAAAAAGAATGGTGAGAACTAAAAAACAAAACCACAACACACCAAACTACCATTTATTGAGCACTTTCTCAGGGTCAGGCACAAGTGTTCTACATGCTTGATCCCAATGAATTGTCTTGGTTGCTAATGAAAAGGTTGTAAGTTCAAATCCAGCAGCTGCTCCAGGAGGGAAAGAGGAGACACTGGAACCTCAGAAGTGGTTTCCACTCTGTCCCACAGGGTCACTGTGAGCTGGAATCACTTGGATGGCAGGAGGTGGATTGGGAAAGCTGGTACTTGTTTTATTTCCATTTTACAGAGCAAGTAACTGAGGCTTAAAGAGCAGAAATAACAAGACTGAGGTCACACAGTTAGGAAGTGGCGGGTCTGGCCTCTCTGCCTCGTTAGGCAAATCCAACCCACCAGGCAAGCGGGAGAGAGCTCTGGAGGCAGAGTGTAAGAGCTGCACCTGCAAGCCAAAGGTATCGAGATGGCCCCCCGAGACTCCTCCGGGGAGTGGGGCTTGTGATTGTTCAGGTCCCTACGGACACTAAGTGCAGAGGCCCAGGAACACCACCCCGAGGCACCAAACACAGGAGGGAGTGGGTGGGGCACGCCACATGGGGACACAGCAGATTGACTTGCTGGAATGTGGAAGCCAAGGTTGGGCTGGTGTGTGTCACCCTGTGCATGGGTGACTGGACTTGGGGAGAAAGGTCAGTGTCCAGCAGGTCCGGATGGCCGGTGCACTCAGCAGCCTGCCCAGGGCGGGCCTGCCTCGCTCCTCCGAGATGGACGAGGAAGCAGGGTCTTTGCACCTGGCATTCCTTCTGCCTGGCCCTCTCCCTCAAGTGTCCTCCTCTGCCTTTGAACTTAGGGCAAAGGTCACCCAGACCCAGGTGGGTGCGCCATGGTCACCTGCTCCCGCTTTATTTCCTTCCTGGCCCTCGTCAGCGTCTGGAATGTTCTCAGTTATGATGTGCACTGCTCGGAGGAGAGAGGCTCAGAGAAGTCTTAGCAATTCTCCCTTCATCTCAAGCTGGGATGGGAAGAGCCACGTTTAAGCCAAATGAAAACCTCAGCACCATGGTGTTTACGCTGACTCACCGCAAACCTACAGAGTGGGGCTGTCCTAAAGCATCTGTGTCCAAACTGTGTAAATCTTTATAGACGCCAACTGCCACTTCCTGCCCTCCACTGCTGCGTTTATAGGGGACAAGAGGTGATGGGGCACCCAGAGGTGTGGCCTGGTAGGGCCTAGAGTTCAGGGTCCGTGTTTCCAGAGGGCTGGGTTTCCCGGGAGGCTCAGACAAGCCCCCCCCCCCTTTTGTGACATTGTGAATATCCACAGCTTACAGTCAAGGCTTCAGGTCTAAGTAAGTGGCTCAATCCCTTTCCACACGGGGACACACCTGTCCTGCCACCCCTCAGATCCTACGTGCACACAGAGCAGACAGGAAGGTGTCTGCAGCGCCCCCGCCAGGCTTCCTCGTGCCTGACTCCAGGCACCCGGGGATCCATCCACATCCATGGAGAAGGATTTTGCTTGTTCTAGAAGGCCATGTAGTCTGTGTTCTTCTGGATCTGGCTTCTTTCTCTCTGCAGGCCCCTAGATCATCCGTGCAGTTACGTTATACACAAACAGTCCATGCCTCCTTACTGCAGGTGAGACCCCTGCTGGCTTAGTGGGTTACGTGGTGAGCTGCTAACCAAAACTCTGGCAGTTTGAACCCAGCAGCTAGCTGCTCCAAAGGAGAAGAACGAGGCAATGTGCTCCTGTTAAGATTTACCATCTAGGGAGCTCTGGTGGCCTAGTGGCAAGACGCTGCACTGCAATCCCAGAAGTACACGGTTCAAATCCAACAGATGCTCTGCTGGAGAAGGAGGGGGCAATCTCCTCCTGTACTAGTCAGATCTGATTTGACGGTACACGTAAAAATAATATAATTTAAAAAAAAAAATTACAGTCTAGGCAAAAACCTAACGGGGAAGTTGTCGCCTGTCCCACGGGGCTAATATGCACCAGATCATTTCACCTTCTGAATTTATCATTCAGTGGGTTCCGCTTCCTCTGGCTGATGGATTCACCATTGTTGCTGCTGTCGAGTCACAAATGACCTGTAGCTGACCCTCTAGTGGGTCTGCAGAGTCAGTTAATCATGCGGGAGGAGACTGCCCATCTTCCTCCCATGGAGCAGCTGGAGGATTTGAACTACATGCCTTTGGGTTGGCAATGCTATCAACAGTGACGCTTTTTTCCGATCCAGTCGTCCGTGCGGGGGCTCTGGTAGAGTGGCAGAAGCTGAGTTGCTAATCCAAACGCCTCCCGGGCAATGACAGCGTCTGAAAACCCCCTGAAGGGCCAGCGATGAGTCAGTTCTGACTGGACAGCACACAACAACAACAACAACAACAACAACAATAGCAGTAGTTCACTGGTTGTATGTGCCAGTCAGTGTATTCATTCACTTGGCTCTTGTTGGATGTTGGGTTGTTTTCGCAGGAGCTACGGGGAATCAAAGCTGTGACCAGTCTCATAGTAAGCTCATGAGGATACAGGGCCTCATTTCCTCAGGTGAAGATACTGGTTTGTTTCTGGTGTTTTTCTTCTTCTTCTGACAGGTGTTAAGCAGTCACTGGTTATGAAGCCCTGTGGTAACAGGAAGTGTCTGAGCTCCATTAATTTCTCAATAGCCCTAAACTGGTTCCACATCTTTCTTAATTCTACACTGTTACGAACTACATGATCCTCATGGGTGATAAAAAGGATGATAAAAAGATCTGAAAAACAACATTAGTAATACCTATTAATGTTAACATGGAGCACTTCCTGGGCCAAAGGCAGTCGGCTGAGGTGTTAAAAGGGTATAGCTGGGAAGCCCAATACCCCATGTCTTAAGTGTGAGCTGTGCTTGCTGGCTTCCTGCCAGTGAGGACAGTAGGAAGGGTGGTGGGAAACACCCACGGCAGAGAAACATGAAAAACGCAACTTTAGGCACGTGATCAAGGTGGGGCTTCAAGCCAGTTCTTCCAGGTTCAGTAAGGGTCCATGAAAGGACAGTGGAGTGGACCTTAATTTCTAAAATGTGGCTGAGTGGGGATGATGACCAGAAAAACACTAGAAACACCTCCGCCTACTTAGGAAACTAGGGCAGTGTGAAAGGTGCATAACAACCTAATCTCTTGAATAGCTGAGTTAGAGAAGGCGGTGGCCGGCTCAAAGACGGCAGCTGACTTTGCAGCTTCAAATGAGCATTATCTCAAAAAAAAAAAAAAATGAGCATTATCTCCACAAAGCTGGTAATAATCCAATTCCCTGCATCTGGTTCCTGAAAGGGCACACCATCTCTCCAATTCCAGGCCTTTGAACTGTAACTTCTCCCATTCAGGCAATTCTCCCATTGTTAAGTGCTGTTGAGTCGAGTATGACCCGCAGATCTAAACCCTGCCCTAGCCTGTACCATCCTTACATTTCCTGACACATTAGAGCCCATTAAGACAGTCATCGTGTCAATCCACCTGGTCGAGGGTCTTCCTCTTCTTTGATGACTCTCTACTTTTCCAACCATGTCCCTCTCTAAGGAATAGCCCCTCCTAGCAACATGCCCAAAGCATGTGAGGGGAGGCTTTATCTTATTTTTTTTTAAATTATTATTTCTTGTGCATGTACCGTCAAATCAGATCTGACAAGTACAGGAGGAAATTGTCCCTCCTTCTCCGGCAGAGCATCTGGTGGATTTGAACATGTACCTCTGGGATTGCAGTACAGCTTCCTGCCACTAGGCCACCAGAGTTCCCCATATCTTCTTTGCCTCCAAAGAGCACTCCGGCTGCACCATGTCAAAGACATATCTGTTTGTTTTCTTGGCTCTCCATGGGATGTTCAGCACTCTTCTTCACACCA